ACAGAGAAATTTGCCACGTAAAATACCATTTGGCTCATGTAAAATGCTCATACTCGCTATACACACGCTTTTCTGTGATTAGTAGGAGAGAGTTCGCCTGGTTTCGTCACCTCGGAGCATGTGGCTTACTGCTGTCAAGGAGGTTAGGAATGGACTATGGAGACTTCTAATGCGCTGGTAAAGTTTATGGATAAATATTAGAAAACAACAAAAAATTTAAGGATTTTTATTTTTAGCTAATATTGTAAGAAATGATATCGTTTCGACTCGAGATTGCCTGATTAATTCCATTCGAAAAAGTTTTGCTACATGTACGTTAAAAATTCGATAGTTTGATTGACATCATCTGATGTGACATGCATAATCATCATTAATTTTAACAACACTCATTCAAATCAATGATCAATTTTCTTACAAATAGGTAGCGGTGCTCGGCTCGACCCATATACCCACGAGCTCGGCTAGTGCTCGTTTTGTAACAAGCTCGGGGTTTTGTGTGTGTATGTGTTTACTATACATTTAAAAAAAAAGATATATATTTTTTAAATATGCATTTTCTTTAAAAATTTTCTTTTTTTTAAATAATAATAATAAAAATAAAAAATAAACCCTCCTCCTTTATCCGGGTTTGGAATCGGTTATTTCAATTTCTAATTTTCGAGTTAGCGGAGTTAAAAATTGTACACAAACAATTTGTTACGTATAGAATTTTTTAAAAAAATTATAAAGGTATTAAATTTTTTTTATGAATATGGTTAAATTAAATATCACTTATTTGACGACATGCAATTTCATTATATTTATCTTGCAGTCGAAAATTAGGGTCTTCCCAATCCTTCACATACATTAATATTTCCAAAATATCTTCTTTCAATTGGCTCCTGATCTGGGAGAAAACCCTCTTACTTGTACTAAAAGCAGACTCCGAAATTACAGTGCTAACTGGAGGTGTTAGTAGATATTTTGTCATTGCAAAAATACTAGCCATCGACGTTCATATTTTCGTCAGAATTCAATTACTTTTTCTGAACTTTTCTTAATTATATTGTTATTGGACATATTATGATTAAAATAATCAATTA